CTGTTACTACTAGTAAGGCACCTGTTACTACTAGTAAGGCACTTGTTTCTACCCGGTCAACCAAGTAGTCCTTTTCTGTGGTCAACCAAGTTCCGAAATCGTGACGGATGGGACCACCATGCGTACGGAGCACCAAAGCAAGTGCGGCGTGCGGGGATCATCTGGTTCTCAAGTCCTACATAGTTTTGGCTCCATAGTTTCAAAGACTCCGCCTCTATGTGAGCAAGGAAAAAACGCCCACATGCACAGCAGCTTGGACAAAGATGTAAACTATTTCGCAACTTACTCCTTACTCCTGTCGAAAAGAACTCATTACGAATTGTGTAAAATATGCTATAACAATAGAAATATACCAGGACCCACTGTCAGGGTGGTTAATGGGCACCCCTTAACCTCTAAGGAGCTATCAATAGAAACCCCTGGTCCGGGTGTCCTGGTATAGAAATAATAAGCATGTCCACATCGGTGATCTCTCGGACCACCGAAACTCCTGCGAAGACCGCGCTAGGACTGAAAGCAAACCCGTTGAAGACCGTGAATGTCTCCACCAATTGATGGAAGAGATGCGGAAAACCACCGCTCCCCCTTGAAACTCCACTTGCTTTCACACACTGTGAAAAGCCAATTGTAACACGGGCCAATCTCTTTCAAGAATCCTATCCAAAACACAAATCACTCCTCCAAAGAATACCCAAAAACCGTGCTGAAAAACAGTTCCATGATTCGGCTTGCCTGGCTTGCACACCCAAGGCACAAACACTCCATGGCCTCATCCAGGCTCTCCAGATTCAGATCGCCTGGTTCGCTTTTGAGCGCCGACCAGAGACTTATTTGGCTTGTAATGCAGTTTCGTACACCCCAAAACTGCAACCTGGTCCAATGAAATCCGGTGACTCTGCTTCATTGCCCATGTCCCCTGGAGTAAAGCAACACATCCAAGGGTTTGCGAGGCAAGTGCATTGCTCTCTGTCCAGTGAAAACGTCTACTGTAGCCATACATCTTTGGTGGCCAGAAAAGTCACCGCCTGAAACGCTGCACCTTTGGTCAGACACCAGGCTGCACAAACACACACACACACACATGTATCCACACGTTTTTCAACGTTTTTCCACATTGGAAACAGGATGAACATGGAAGAACCATCTTTCATCATCTTTCTTTCTTCTAGCTTTTGGCCCTATCCACAAGGGTGGTCAATATCCCTCACAGCTTGGAGAACACCCAGGGACAGGCGTAGATCATCGACAGCTGCGACCAGGCCTTCAGATAGCATTCCTCTCAGACCGGCCAAGCTCTCATGCAGCTGAGGCAGACCATCCATCGACTCCTCCTCGGAAATTTGGGCTTCAGTCAGACTGCAGGGCTTCGACTGCAGTAGGCAACAGCGCAACAGCTTGTGATGGACGGCTGTCATCCTGCACCAGGAGTTACATAACTTATATACCTAACTAACTAGATTTGATTAAACATAACATTACTTGTCTAGCCGTACTTACAAGGATGAAACACGCACATACAGCAGTTGTGTCTTCACAAACATTATATATATAAATCCTTCGGTCTCAGCTCTTCCTTTTGAGATGCAAAAGATCCGAAGCTGTACAAGAGGAACACTTCATTCATACTGGGCTAATGTGTTTGGCTGAAAAGCTAATACCACAAAGCTTATCATCTGTTGGATGACGCCTCTAAATCGAAATCTGGCTAAGCTGTGTTTTGTCACCACCCCCACGGCGATGCGCCAACGACGATGCGCTTACGACGGCGTGCGTTTCATCTTCCGACGCCGCATGACAAGGCAGGGAAGCAAATGATCATGTTGCAGTGTCGGGGGTGAAGGATCTTTTGGACATGACTTGATTGATTCCAGGTATTGCAAGTGCTGAGAATATCCTTTGTGATACGATCCACTGAGATGCATCCTGTGCTTTTGGACCTGTCGCTTCCTCTCTCACTGCATCTCTCTCCATGTCCCTTGACAGTTCTATGCCCACACTTACTTGTAGGCACTTATATATGTCAAGATCCTAATGATCAAAATTATCAAACACGTCACTTGACATGGACTTGAATAACATTCCTTATAAGTGAAATAGCCATAGGCGTTGGACAGGGCACAACGCGAAAGCAAATTTAAGTGCTCAACCTGTCCTTTCATAACAAAACCGCTGCGGATTGCGCGGTTCTGTTTTGGGTTTCCATGTCTAACACTGTACTCATTCTCCCTGACAGCTCAATATGCCCACCCATGCCTGACTACAGGCACTCGCGTCAAGCACTATGATCACTAACTAGTTGAAAACATTATACAAAACAAATGTAAAAAAGAAACAACAACAGTTTCCCCAAACCTGTCCTGGAGGTCCTCCTTGGGAATCTCCTGAGGTCAACAGCGGAACGAGGCGGTAACGCGAGGGCTTCCAGAAGCGAACGACGTGGGCAAGACCGTCCAACGCGGATGGCAAGACTCGGAGGACCATAGAAGTACAGGATAGATCCGAAATGATCCGAAGACAAGACCCAAAACAGGTGGTAAACCACTCACGTCCACATTCCGATGAAAAATATAGGGACGTGTATTACCCCGGGTACCCGGATCGTGTTGGTGACCACGCGTCGTATGTTGGGCACACAAAGACATATTATCGAAGAACGAGTGGCCTATCTGCTCTACAAAGCTTTGTCACTTGCAGGACCTAGTAGCGATGCCAGGAGCTACTAGTAGCGTCCTTGTTCCTAGTAGTAAGGCCAGGAGCCCCTAGTAGCGTCCTTTTCCTAGTAGTAAGGCCAGGAGCTACTAGTAGCGTCCTTGTTCCTAGTAGTAAGGCCAGGAGCCCCTAGTAGCGTCCTTTTCCTAGTAGTAAGGCCAGGAGCTACTAGTAGCGTCCTTGTTCCTAGTAGTAAGGCCAGGAGCCCCTAGTAGCGTCCTTTTCCTAGTAGTAAGGCCAGGAGCTACTAGTAGCGTCCTTGTTCCTAGTAGTAAGGCCAGGAGCCCCTAGTAGCGTCCTTTTCCTAGTAGTAAGGCCAGGAGCTACTAGTAGCGTCCTTGTTCCTAGTAGTAAGGCCAGGAGCCCCTAGTAGCGTCCTTTTCCTAGTAGTAAGGCCAGGAGCTACTAGTAGCGTCCTTGTTCCTAGTAGTAAGGCCAGGAGCCCCTAGTAGCGTCCTTTTCCTAGTAGTAAGGCCAGGAGCTACTAGTAGCGTCCTTGTTCCTAGTAGTAAGGCCAGGAGCCCCTAGTAGCGTCCTTTTCCTAGTAGTAAGGCCAGGAGCTACTAGTAGCGTCCTTGTTCCTAGTAGTAAGGCCAGGAGCCCCTAGTAGCGTCCTTTTCCTAGTAGTAAGGCCAGGAGCTACTAGTAGCGTCCTTGTTCCTAGTAGTAAGGCCAGGAGCCCCTAGTAGCGTCCTTTTCCTAGTAGTAAGGCCAGGAGCTACTAGTAGCGTCCTTGTTCCTAGTAGTAAGGCCAGGAGCCCCTAGTAGCGTCCTTTTCCTAGTAGTAAGGCCAGGAGCCCCTAGTAGCGTCCTTGTTCCTAGTAGTAAGGCCAGGAGCCCCTACTAGCGTCCTTGTTCCTAGTAGAGTCTCGGGAGTCAGCTTGTTTATAAGCCGAAAGATTCCGATCTCACTCCCCCTTGAAATTTTCAGGGGGAGGGGTGGAGGCCGCGGAGGCCCTCATTCTGTAGAGCTTATTTCAACTGGGATGGATTTCAGATGTAATATATTGCGTATATATGTATATAAAATAATCACTTTCATCCGAAAGAGCTTCTGACTCTAGTATCAGCCCTGGGTCGCCATGGGTCTCCTGGCGAAGTCAAACCCAACAAGATGCGGCTATTCTGAGGACACCCGTCTCATCCTGGTATTTTGAGGCTATTTCTCTTGGAGCCGGAGCCCAAGATCCTCTAGTACAAAGGGGATCCTCCAGAGGATCCTCCCAAAAACCGTTCACAAAAGGGTTAGTCCATTGTGGCAAACATGTCATGACATGTCTAAGACAAAAGGTGTTCGGGCAAGGAAAACCACCAAAAAGGACTCACACAAAAATTATATAAAACTATATAGCCAGGATCAAACACCTTGGTGCTCTTGCTGTCCAACACTACGCAGTCGTGCTCCACGTGCATCTTGCAAGCACGAGATGCACGCCCTGCCTCGCGCAACAAGAGTTGCCGAACGCGACCCAGCCACGCGTCCCACACCTCCGCCGCGTCCCAGGTGTAGAGTGGATCGCCCGCGTCGATCGCACGACGCGTCCTGCACGTCCGGTGGCACACGTCGCCACACATCGCCATCGTTCCACGTGAGGCATCCATCGGGTCCTGGGTGGCCATCGGGTCGGTCCGGAACGCGATTCCGTTCGCGCGAACGGACCCCCTGGGCGCGCGGTCGGGAAGTTTGGTCGATCGAAGTCTGGACCCGCAGAGAAGCGAAATCAATGAAACGGAGTTGAAGCTGAAAACCACTGAGCTTGGAAACATCCAAGCTAAGCTTAAAATCCAGCGCTCTGGTTGACAGGTGTATCACTCCAAGTCCGCACACAAAACACTCTCTTCAATCGAATCTGTTGGCATAGCCATTCATAGAACATGTAACCATTCATAGAAACCCTACAAACAGCTTAGAAAGCCACTGGATGAATGCATGATGATATATGATGAGTGTGCAAACATTGATTGTTGGGTAGTTGTCCCAGGTGTGCAGTGCAAACCTCAAAGTTCCTAGAAAACTGCAATGATTCCTTCCAACCACTTAGTCTCCATCGGCTTCTTTCTCCCAAGCAGCGGAGGGTGCCGCGGAAGATCTCTCCGCTCAACCTTAAACGGGAGAACTCAGCATGCCTTCCCAGGAAAGTGAATCCTTTCCACATCCTTTCACTATCGAGGTCACCAAACAATCCAAACAAACAAACGCCACTTCCAATGTTCCACTGGCTAATAATTATTGATAATTCATGTTTGGCTCTCACCCACAGCTATACGGTTGGTAAGTGTGTTGAGAAGATTTAAAGAAATCAAAGTTCAATTCTCGGGGCAAGTCAGCTACCTAGAATAACATGGGAAAACATGGGAATGGACACCCTGGACTAACCATGGACTCTATAATTTACAGTCATACTTCTTGCAAAGGAAGAGAAGAAAAACGTATTATGCTGGACTCTAACACCGAAAACCTGTATATCACTCAGATCAGCCGTATTACAACTCCATAACAAACACAAGAACATCGCTACTAGTGGCTAGAAGCTACCAGTAAGGCTCGCAAACATATCACACCTCTGGGCTCTTTGGGTTTCGGCAAAATAAGTTTTCCGGGTTGGCTCCCCAAAGGGTGCGGGGAAGGTCTTTTCAACCCCTTTCTGGAGACTGCATTGCATTGCTGATGAACCATAAGTGTCCGGTACCCAGCAGGAAAAACAAACCAATGAACCACCACCAAAGCCCTCACCCGATTCAAACAAAAACACACACACAGTTGCAGGCCAAACCCAGAGAAAACTGCCAAGCCCGCTTCGATGTGCGACACCCAAAAACCTCAACCATGTGTGTCTTCTGGTGGTGAAGGTTGAAGGTTGGAGGATTCATGCCAAGCTGCAATGTGGATGTTGAGGTTTCACTCCAAATCTCCAACTCCGATTCCTGGAACACCACGGCCATGCGAGCTACGGCTGAAACGAAGAAGGAGCGCCCCGAGCGCGGTTCTACGAGCGGTCTCTCGGCACCCCCAGGATTTGGTTCCATCGTTTCACACAGCTTCGATAGCTTGCGCAGCTTGGTTCCCATCCCGAATTCCTGAAGTCACCGGATTGGAACACGTGTTGGGTTCCACGGTTCCATCCTGAATCGTCCCAAGAAAACTGAAAATCAAACCGCCTGACCAGGCCTTCAGTTGTGAAGGTCAAACATGAAAAAACACCCGAGAAAAAACATCGATGTCATCACCGTTTTTGGAGCACGAACCCCCCCCAAAACCCGGCTTTTGGTTGGGGTCAATTCAACTCTGACCCAGTCGGTCTCCGAGTTCCAGTCGATGTGTCCCTTCCAAGGTCCAACAAGTAACACCGGCCAGGTCCGGACACGATGTCGCACCCGGGATCATATGGGCTGCCCCGGTGAACTGGTTGAAGCGATCCCACCTCCTTCCAGCGCGCAGCGAGGAGCGCCTTTTTCGCTCAGACGAAGGTCCAGCTCCAGAGGACCTCCTGTATTCCTCGTCAAACGAGATCCCCTCCTTTTTTCGCCCAACGGGGTGCGAGGATCTCCGGATCCGACCTCCAGGTCCTTCCGACGTAGAGCTCCGCCACATTTCATTCATTCGCATCCAGTCGAAAGCCTATGGCTTATGGAGTTGAGCAGCAAATGCCAAAAGCTAAATTACAGCTAGGGCAACTAGACAGAAGTTGCAGCACACAAACGTCTCAGCGAGCAAAGCCTAACTGACAAGGTGCCTTGACTAGTGACCACTTCCGGGTACACCGGCAACCTTGTTTGGTGCATTCCGCTCGGGTCCCTGTTGGGACCCCAATATGGCAGCCTTTCAGGCTGCGCACAATGGACCTTCTTGGCCTTCTGTATGGCCACGGCCCAATCATGAAGCTGCAACAATGCCCTACCGCGCGGCTCAGCTGACAGCAGCTCGCACCACCAACGCAGGCACTCATGGTCCATCTCATGCTGCATGCCCCACAAAAAGATCGAGCCCAGCAAAATGCCGGTTTCCATGCCTTCCCAGTCGTGGTAGAAAGACTGCACATCCTGTGCAGTGGCAGCAGCCTTCATGCACTCCTCCCCAATGACAAGCAGGATATCCTGATCTGAGCGAAATGAGACACCAGATTCCTCCAAGTCATCCTTCAGGTCCAAGAAGTCCTTCTCCAGGGTGAGAGCATCGTCCCACTCGGCACCAAAAATCTTGGGGCCATAGAGTGTCACGGCCTCTACCCTTCTCGCTGCTGTCAAGGAAGTGAAGGGATCTGCCGGGAGATCCTCTCGTCCCTCCTCCCGAGTCCCAAACTCCCTCAACCAAGCAGTGCACACATTGGTTTTGCCTGTTCTCGACACATATCGAAAATGTATGCGAAGGCGATTGCGTGTCCAGATTTAAATGTTGCAGGCAAACTGGGCACGTAGCTCCACGCCCGTACCCCGCCGTGGCTGTCCGCCAAGAATGCGTCACCATCTGATGCATCCTCAGAGCTTTCCTTGTTGGGAACCCACGTGGCCCAAGAAGCCAGCCAAAGATGTTAGTAGTAGAACTCGAGGTGCAAATGGGCATATTGAGTGCGGGCGTAAATGCCATCTCCTGAAAAAAAGACAGCCCTTCCTTCCTTCATATAGCATTCCTCAAAAATGTCCGGAGGGGCGGGTGACAAGCTGTAGGCCAAACCGGCCTCAGCCACCCCCGCAGCAATGAGGTCACCCAAAAGCCGGTGCACTTGTGGCCATCGAACTGTAACATGTATGGCATCTCCATGCCTGAGGCGCATGCGTCCATATGTTGGTCGCCCTATGCCGTTGACCTGCACAGCCACCTCTAAGCTTGCAGGTCTGGATGGAAAGAAAGATTCCAGAAGTTCATTTCTGTGCAGCAAAGCTGAGAACGTGCGTGTTTCGAAAAAGGAAACACAGGCCCAACGGAGCTGAAAGGTCCATTCAATGATGACCGCTGGATCCGTGTCCTGTCGTGCCGCCACACTGGGAGGTGTGAAAAGTAGCAGCATTCGACTGTGGTAATCGAAAATGGAGGGAATCATTACTAATCATTTGGAAGTCCCATTCAAGGCCCCTCAAATGATCCCATCGCCGTTCCACCAAAGTCACCAATGATTGCCCCATCCAGGACTGAACCACGTAGCCATGAAGTGTATCACGTGGATCCGCCAAGAACATCACCACCTGAGAAAGTCCCGCCATATTGGCTACCAACGCCTCAAAGTGGTCATCAATCTCAGCATGAAAAGAACACGGTCCACCATGACCTGTCTGGCGTAAGCCCAACTCGATCCAGCTGTCTCATGCTCCCCAAGGTCAAAAAGGGCAAAGGTGTCCCCTTCCTCTTCAGCCTCGTTAGTGCTGGGTGCTGCCTGTTCGCAAACCTGATGCCGGACCTCCACATGAACTTCAATCTTTTGCCACCCTCGAAGGAAAACCCGGTCCGTGCCAAAGGGGGGCAACTCCCTCAAGATAGCATTGACAACGGATCCCAGGTGCATGGCAAAGACCTGTGCAGCCCGCTTGGGCAGTGAGCTCCCGGCACGTCACTGGATTGGTCGTCGACACAGGAACAACACGCACCTGTGGTCTCGATGCGGTGCCATAGTGCACTAACACAAGTGAGGGTGTCCCCCGTTGCGGTCCTTGAACGAGCACTTGAAAGTGGTGCTGGTGTCCACTCAAGGCATCATCAGTCTGCGGTACTACTGCTCCAATCCAAAGGTCTTCTTGCGGTGGGACCTCATGATGGAGAGCAGCCCGCACCTTAAGGGCTAAATGCCCCGGTGCCATGGTCATCTCATCTCCCCATGTAGTAGTCCATGTTCTCATCTTGTAGTCCACATGACGGATACGGATGAGAGGGGCAGACCCTTGTGCCCACAGGAAGGCCGTAGCATCCAAATTCAGTCGCTCCAGGCCCTGCACAAATGTATGGGCTCTCCAAAGCTGATAAACCTCGGCTGGGAAGTCCAACTTGGGAGAGAAGGCCTCAATTTGGAATAAAAGGAAGCATCATTCTCAGGGATTACCTGCACCTGGCTCTCATTAAGTGTTCCTGGTCCAGCGCCCCCATTCTCCTCCAGATGTATCCCGTCATGGAATGGTGTCTTGTCAGAACCCGAGGCGGAAGACCCAGAGGCCGTAGAGCATGACGAGACGTCCATGGTCTGCTCCAACCGGCCAGGTCCACATCGCACTCGAATGAAGCACCCCGGCCAAATATCCAAGTCCTCCCCAAACGAAACTTGCTCTGGCAGCACGACAACGCATTCCATATCCTCACAATTGCAAACCGTTTCCCAGAAACCAAAGAGTTCCCTGGAGTTGATCCTACCTGGAGAGTAGGGGTGCTCCAAGAGGAGGGACCCTTGCAGGACAAAGTTCTCCATCACTACCTGCATCATAACTGGCAACCGGTATGTGCGTTCGTCCTGATACAGGATCAAATCCTGCAGAGGTGGTCCACCGACCACTGGGTCCACTAATTGAACAGCAATTTGCTTTTCATCACCAAGGTTGTGAACAAACTGCATGTATCTGTGTGATGTCACGTCAAAACTAGAGGACACCCCTTTGAGCTCATCACTTCTGGGATAGTGACGTGCACTGAAGGGGTGCTTCCACAGGCGGTACAAGCCTGCAGTCAAGGTCTGCTTGAACTCGCACCAATTCAATGGAGCACCATGAGCCAATTGCATAAAGATGGTTGTGTCTCCTGTCTGCTCATTCTGAATCACCTCGTGAAGGTCGTCATTGTTTCCACCTACAGTCCATTCTGATGGAGATAGCGGGTGTCAGGGGTTGGCCAGTGGGTATGAGCCACGGCGCCCACCTGTTAGGCGCTCAACACCCTCCCACACCGCTTCTCCAGGCGTCTTGGAATCCCCTGGCTCATATCCATTAGATGAAAAGCTGCGGCCCTCCACATTCTCCAGGCAGCCACAGCAGACGACCCAAACCCAAAAGAGCCCTCTAGATTTCAAGGAAACCCTCTCCCTCTCCGCCAAATGTCATAAACAAAAACAGAACCGCAAATCGGGGCCAAAACCTGGGTGTTCCGGAACCATCGGTGGATCCGGATCCGCTCCGATCCCGCTCGTGCCGGTGCCGGGCCGACGAGACGCTCGTACAACGGCCGATCCGTGGCCGATGAGGACTGCGTCGGGTCACCGGTGGCCGGACTTGGGGGGGAAACCAAAAACACAGGATCGGTCGATTTGGTCCCCCAAACCCCACAGAATTGGAGGGTTGGCATGGGTTGGCCAGACATCCACATTTCTATGTCACGGCCTGGGTGTGGATGCGCTGGGCCTTTTTTGAAGATGGTCATTTCTGCCTCCGATGCTTTCAATCCGCCTGTGAATACATCTCACGGTCCTGACATACCCATGATATCCCATGATCAATGGATGTCAAACGCGTTTTGAATCCTAGTGCCCCATTTCACGGTAGTTGCCAATTCTTTTTGCACTGTCATTCCTAGGAATATATATTTATCCCAATTGTAAAAGGCAACCAAGGATTCTGTCTCTAGACTCTAACTCCAGGTTTCTGCCTGTGAAGCCACATACATGTTGGGAAATTGTCATGATTGCCAAAATGAACGCAAAACCTTTGACAGAGTTTTCCACAGAACTACAGTAGTTCTCTGGGTTGGTCACTGGTCGTGGGTGTGCGCCCCCAAAGAGAACCATTCACTGCTTCCAATGCATTGAGTGTTGTGTGGAGTCACTGTTAATTATTTCAATTGTTCTACCCGTCTCATATCATATCACATCAACAAGCAAGCTAAGATTGACATCTATAATACATTTCCCATAATTTCCCTGCCTGCATATTGTTTATGACCAATGCAGATCTGCATCCTGCATGATAGGAATAGCTTAAGAGTGAATTCCCCCAACAAATCTATCATGTCGGGAATC